AGGAAATTGAATGCAGATTTCCAAAAAATAGCAAGGAGAGACAAGAAAGCCTTCTTAAACGAGCAATGCAACGAAATAGAGGAAAACAAGAGAATGGGAAGAACCAGAGATCTGTTCAAGAAAATTGGAGATATGAAAGGAACATTTCATACAAAGATTACCATAATAAAGGACAAAAGTGGTAAGGACCTAACAGAAGCAGAAGACATTAAGAAAAGGTGGCAAGAATACACAGAGGAATTATACCAGAAAGATATGGATGTACACCCCAGGTAGTGTGGTTGCTGACCTTGAGCCAGACATCCTGGAGAGTGAAGTCAAATGGGCCTTAGAAAGCACTGCTAATAACAAGGCCAGTGGAAGTGATTGTATTCCAGCTGAACTATTTAAAATTTTAAAAGATGATGCTGTTAAGGTGCTACACTCAATATGCCAGCAAATTTGGAAAACTCAGCAGTGGCCAGAGGATTGGAGAAGTTCAGTCTACATCCCAATCCCAAAGAAGGGCAGTGCCAAAGAATGCTCCAACTACCGCACAATTGCACTCATCTCACACGCTAGCAAGGTTATGCTTAAAATTCTACAAGGAATGCTCAAGCAGTATGCGGACCGAGAACTCCAAGAAGTGCAAGCTGGATTTTGAAGGGGCAGAAGAACCAGAGACCAAATTGCAAACATGCGCTGGATTATGGAGAAAACTAGAAAGTTCCAGAAAGACATCTACTTCTTCATTGACTATGCAAAAGCCTTTGACTGTGTCGACCACAGCAAACTATGGCAAGTTCTTAAAGAAATGGGAGTGCCTGATCACCTCATCTGTCTCCTGAGAAATCCCTATGTGAGACAAGAAGCTACAGTTAGAACTGGATATGGAACAACTGATTGGTTCAGAATTGGGAAAGGAGTACGACAAGGCTGTATATTGTCTCCCTGGTGTTTCCTGCTTGGCAGGGGGATGGACTCAATGGCCCTTGTGGTCTCTTCCAACTCTATGAGTCTATGATTCTATGATCATGCAAAAGGCTGGGCTGGATGAATCCCAAGCAGGAATTAAGATTGCTGGAAGAAATATCAACAACCTCAGATATGCAGATGACACAACCTTGATGGCAGAAAGTGAGGAGGAATTAAAGAACCTTTTAATGAGGGTGAAAGAGGAGAGCTCAAAATATGGTCTGCAGCTCAACGTCAAAAAAACGAAGATCATGGCCACTGGGCCCATCACCTCCTGGAAAATAGAAGGGGAAGAAATGGAGGCAGTGAGAGATTTTACTTTCTTGTGCTCCATGATCACTGCAGATGGTGACAGCAGTCACAAAATTAAAAGACACCTGCTTCTTGGGAGAAAAGCAATGACAAACCTAGACAGCATCTTAAAAAGCAGAGGCATCACCTTGCCAACAAAGGTCCGTATAGTTAAAGCTATGGTTTTCCCAGTAGTGATGTATGGAAGTGAGAGCTGGACCATAAAGAAGGCTGATCACCGAAGAATTGATGCTTTTGAATTATGGTGCTGGAGGAGACTCTTGAGAGTCCCATGGACTGCAAGAAGATCAAACCTATCTATTCTTAAGGAAATCAGCCCTGAGTGCTCACTGGAAGGACAGATCCTGAAGCTGAGGCTCCAATACTTTGGCCACCTCATGAGAAAAGAAGACTCCCTGGAAAAGACCCTGATGTTGGGAAAGATTGAGGGCACAAGGAGAAGAGGACGACAGAGGAAAAGATGGCTGGACAGTGTTCTCAAAGCTACCAGCATGAGTTGACCAAACTGCGGGAGGCAGTGGAAGACAGGAGTGCCTGGCGTGCTCTGGTCCATGGGGTCACAAAGAGTCGGACACGACTAAACGACTAAACAACAATAACAACAACTATAATAGGCATCCCAGAATGTCATTTCTTTACCTGAATACTGACCCTTCTCAGGTGAATCTCTTTCTATTATACTTTTGGTTTTTGATTTTGACTTCCGTCGACCTCACGGTGGTTCATTTCCTATAACTAGTACCTTTTCTCTGTGTTTCAATATATTCCTTATCTTGGTATAAGGAGACATTTTCCTACTTATGTGTTTATTCTAAACACAACCAAAAATTGGTTGTTGAACCTTGACTCAATAGGTAGGTATTTAGACAATCCCATTCCTTCTGGACTATTTTATTTGACTTGTTCCTTAAGGCTTCAGTCAACTTAGTGAGTTCCAAGTACTTGCCCAATTTTTGTAGCCATTCTTCTTTATTTGGTATATGGTCTCCCTTCCAATACTTGGCTATTAATACTCTAGCCGCCATCACTGCATAGAAAAATAATTTTAATCTTTCTTTTGGAATATTATCAGTTAGAATTCCAAGAAGGAATGATTCTGTTTTTGTGTGGAATGTAATTTTTAGTAATTTTTCATTTCCTCATAGATTGTGTCCCAGAATATTTTATTTCTGGGCACAACCAACACATATGGAAGAAGGTTCCCACTTGTATATTACATTTCCAACATTTATTATTATGGTTTTTATTGATTTTGGCCAATTTTGTGGGTGTTAGATACCACCTATACGGCATTTTCATCCAATTTTCTCTAATTTGATAGCATGCAGTGAATTTTTGTGATAAATAGGAGTGGTAACAGTGGGCACCCTTCTCTTGTTCCCTTTTCAATATTAAACTCTTCCGTGATTTCATTATTTATAATTAACCTTGCCTTTTGGCTAGTATAAATAGCTAGTATAAATAGCTTTAATTCCACTTATTATTTTGTTCCCTATTCACATCACTTTGATAGTTTTCAGTAGGAAGTCCCATGAAACACTATCAAAGGCTTTTTCAGCCTCTACTAGCAGGATTGCTGCTTTTTTTTTGCTAGGTTTCATTTCAATGTATTCCAGTAAATCGATTATTATTCTTGTGTTATTTATCTGCCTTCCCGGCAGGAAGCCTGCTTGGTCTCTATTTATTATTCTGTTCAGGAAGTTTTTCAATCTGTTTGCTAATATTCCGGCAAAGATTTTATAATCTGAATTCAATAATGAGATTGGTTTATATATATATTTTTTGTCATTTTGAGATCTGCGCCTTGTTTTGGAATTATTGTTATTAATGCACCCCTCCATGAATCTGGAATTTTCCTTCCTTCCATTATATTATTCATGATTTTTTCAAGATAGGAAGTACAACTTTTAATTTCTTGTAATAATTTATAGTAATCCCAATCTATTTCAGTTCTGCAAAGTCAAACTTTTCAAGGGACTGGAGGACTGGCAAAAAAACTTCCTGACCTGTGAGAGCAGAAGCACTTTCTGACAAGGCAAAGGTATCATTTGATACAGCCCTTAATGATGGCCAAATCTATGCTTTTCTTGCGTCAATGTTGGTTCCTTACACTGATTTACATCTGTGTACTGTTTTCTATTTCATAGTTTGGGCTTCTTTTGTTCAGGAAGGCTACGCTATGCCTGCCACAATTATAGCAGTGCTATAATTCTAGTGAATATTGAAAGCTGTGACATTTCAAATAATCTCCTTTGTTCATTTCGCTTTTGATTAATCTGAGAATTTATTTCCCTGAAGAAGTATTTCACTGCACATGTAACTCCACATGTCACTTGTTTCCAAGTGAACATTGTATTTCAACCACACAAATGGGAGAGGGGCATATGTTCTTCAGGGAACATTTTTGGTGGTAAAACAAACTTCAGGAGAAGGTCTGAAAAGTTTCTAAAAAGACCACCCAAAGCTGGTGGTTCTGATATTGCACCTATCAGTTTTAGCTTCCTTGCTTAAATCAGCATCCTTCTTTCCCATCATTTAGCCAGTTAGAATGCTCTGCATGCCAACCTCACCAAGGGCAAATGAAGCCAGGGTAGAGTGCCTTTTGAGCAAGCATTGCCTTCAACTCAGAATCAGCTTCATTTGCTCTCATTGAACTCCGCCATGCTGTCAACTCTACTATATGGTGACGTCACTCTTAGTTGGAGGACAAATGAGGATTTGCAGAAGACAAGCTGCAGAAGCTGAAGCCAATCTGGGATGCAGAGGGATTCACAGGGGAACCAGCACTTGAATGCCAGGAATGAGTGAGGAGTGCGGGCTGCCTGGATGAGTAGGGGAGTGTGCGTGTGACCTGAATCTGTGCTAATAACACTGGGAAACGCCACTAAATATTTGCTGAATGTGAAACGCAGAACAGTACTTCAGCAAATAGCCTCCATTTTGGCTCAGACCTTGTTTGGGCTATTTCTGTTGACATTCCTAAACCAAAATTGCCCTTGATACAACACTATTGCATTTAAAAAGCTTATCTCAGAATATTCCCTTTATTAAAGGCAAATATCTTTTTGTGCTCCCTTCAACATATTAATATTAATAAGCTATTGCAGCTCTTCACCCGTAAAATAATTGCATTAATATTACTGTCAGAAAGCTCATCAACAATCAGCTAATTTCAATTAATTTTTCATGATTTTTAATTACTTAATCTGTAAGAAATGCAAACCGCAAAATATGAAGCTAACTGCATTATCTTCTAATTCACAAAATGGTACAGAGAAAGAAAAAAGTGGAGATGTACAAATAGCAGAAGTGCTGCCGTTTTTTCTCCTATGGGTCAAAGTCATTGAAGGGATCTTCATAATCATAAATTAAATACATTGACTGGACCTGTGTTTTGAAGCTATATCAAATCTGGCACTTGTCTAGAATGCAGATGAGAGACAAATTTAATTTAAATCACATTTAAAGGCAGATCTTTGTAATGCACACATTACAAAAAACAAAACATGCTTTGAAATTTGCACTTCTTTGAATTATTCAATGCCGTTTGAGCACATTTTGTGGACAAATACTAGGGTAAGTTGCTTTCCCTTCCTTTCCTCCTCCACGGCTCGCTTTGAAGCAGCAAAGTGGGAGAGGAGTCGCTTACATGGGTGTAAGCGGCTCCTGTCCGGTTGGATGCTTTAAAGCAAGTGTGCTCTTTTCCTCCCTCCTCTCCGCTCAAAGCAGCAAAGCTTTTCAGCGAGCTGAGCTGGGGAGGAGGGAGAGAAGGAGAGCCGGCTCGCTTTAAAAGAGCAAAGTGGGAGAGGAGAGGAGCTGCTTACACGGGTGTAAGTGGCTCCTGTCCAGTTGGCTCCTTTAAAGCAACCGTCCTCTCTCCCTCCGTCCTCCCCGCTCAGCTCGCTGAAAAGCTCCTTCTCCACACACCCCACGCATGCTCCTTGTCCCTTCAGTGTTTTTCCTTCCCTCACCACTTAAAACGTGGTTACAAAGCACTGATCCACATGGATTCTCAGGATTTTTGCATTTAGCTACCCCAAACTCACCATCAAATGACATGTCTGTGGCCACAGCATGAACCACAAATATCATACATCCATTGTTTTGTTCAGAATATTTTTTTCTTGTTTTCCTCCTCTAAAAGCTATGTGTTCCTCTAAAAGCTATGAGCGAAAAATATATTAAAGGCAAAACTGCATGAAAATGTGTATTAGAATAATTTTGCACTAAAATGCTGGTAGATCTTCACAAGGACCTTAGATGCAGCAACAAACCAAACCAAAGTGGAATGCAAAGAACCCAACTGGAAAGGTGAGGAACTGAGATATACGGAAAGAGAGAGAACTGCCCATCACTAAGTCCAGAGCACGGCCAGCACATCCATGAGGCAAGGTGTGGCGACTGCCTCAGGTGCTGCCTCAGGCAGCAGGATCCACAGGGGCAGCAGAAACCGATACAAATATTTACTTCCTCTTGTTCCTGATGTATATCTTCATTCACCCATTCTTCCCAGTCAGGGCGGGAGGCACCATTTTGTGATTTACCTCAAAATGTCTTGCGCCAGCCCTGGTCTAGGGACTCAGGTTGGCTCAGGATAGAAATCCAGACAGAGGCAGGGAAACTGTTCTTTTGAGGCCTCATCCCTTGCAATCTATAGGAGTCTGCATCATCTCAGGGAGTGACAAATGAGGAATTGCAGGGTTCTGTGCTTGGCCCGTTGTTGTTCAACAGCTTTATAAACAACTTGAATGAAGGGGATGCTCATCAAATGTGCAGTTGAAATCAAGCTGCGAGGGGTAGCTGATGCCCCAGAAGACAGAATCGGGATTCAAAATGACCTTAACAGATTGCAGAACTGGGCCCAAACTAACAAAATGATTTTCCATAGGAACAAATGTAAGCTTCTGTACTTAGGTAGGCATAACTAGTTGCAAAAATCTAAGATGGGGGACATCTGTTTGCCAGCAGTAAAGTGAAAAAAAATATTAGTGGACCACAAGCTTAACATGAGTCAATAATGTGATGCAGCAGCAGCAGCAGCAGCAGCAGCAGCAGCAGCAGCAGCAAAAAAAAAAAAGCAAAAAAAAAAGCAAATTCTAAGCTGCCTCAGCAGAAGTCTAGTGCCCAGGTCAAGCGATATTACCTCTCTATTTTGTCTTAGTCAGAGTACACCTGGGATATTGTGTCCAATTCTGGGCACCACAATTTAAGAAGGATGTTGACAAGCTGGAACGTGTGCAGAGGACAACGACCAAATTGATCAAAGGTCTGGAAACTAAGCCTTATGAAGAATGGTTGAGGGATGGGGTTTGTTTAGCCTAGGAAAGAGGTGACTGAGAGGAGATCAGGGCTCTTACAGGGAAGATGGAGCAAGCTTGTTTTCTCCTGCTCTGAAGGTTAGGATCTATACCAGTAGTTTCAAGTTGCAAGGAAAGGCGATTCTGACTGAACACCAGGAAGGAGCTGTTTGACAATGAAACAAACTCCTTAGAAGGTGGTGGACTCTCCTTCATTGGGGAATGTTTTTAAAGCAGAGGTTGGATGGCCACCTTCTTGGATGATTTAGTCGAGATTCCTGCTTTGCCAGGGGTTGGGCTAGATTACCCTTGTGGTCCCTTCCAACTGTACAATTCTATGATTCTTTGTCAGCAGCAGGTTGGTTGAATCTCTGCTTTTTCTGGCTTTCCCATTTCTTGTTGTATCCCTTTTCCAGCGTATGCACCCAAGCACAAACATGCAGTGGCTTAAGGAGAAACAGACCATCCCATCCCTCCTCCAGCAGCTCATTCAGTTTCTGTGCTGACTGCAGAGAAAGCTGCTTCTTTTCTATCCTGGCTGGCACAGAAAAGCTGCCAGAAGAGAGTTGAAGAGTTTGGACTTGATATCAAGCTTTATCACTACCCTAAGGAGTCTCAAAGCGGCTAACAATCTCCTTTCCCTTCCTCCCCCACAACAAACACTCTATGAGGTGAGTGAGGCTGAGAGACTTCAGAGAAGTGTGACCAGCCCAAGGTCACCCAGCAGCTGCATGTGGAGGAGCGGGGAATTGAACCCGGTTCACCAGATTACGAGTCTACCGCTCTTAACCACTACACCACACTGGCTCACACTGCCAGGGCAGGGACATATTGCCTGGCCCACCATTGAGCATCTAACTGCGCTTTCCAGCTGGCAGTGGAGGGAGGGAAGCCATTCTTCCCATCACCGACGTCCAACTTCATAGGCTGTTGCGTAATTTCATGCTAATCAGCCCACCACACTCTATACATGCACATCAGTGTAACATCTAAGGTAGTTAAGTTGAACACAGAGGAGAAAGCTTTCCTTTGCCATGTGCAGACGGCTAATTAGGAAGTCATTATGAGCATTCTTTTTTATCAGAACACAAAATTAAATACAGGTTACATGGTACATTAGTGTGACTATCTAAGATGCTAGCTTGAGCTAGGCAATTAAAAAAAGGGCAAAATATTTTAAATGAATTTTAAAATACATCCTTCCAGTCATTAAGCAGAATTATCACATCCATATTTTGTAAATGTAAAATATATGTGCTTAAAAATCTCCTCTCCACAGTCTTTTTTATTGATGACCCATCTAAGCTTCATTTCCGAACTGAAAAGCCTTGTCGGTCAATTTATTCCAACATAGCAGGATGCGGTGCTTGGGTAGTTATTAATCCTGTAATTGCTCGTGGCATGCCAGAAATAATTCTGCTAATTATTACAATATGTCTTACTTTGCAGTGCCTCTATATGTCAATATACCCTTTGCATAGTGTGGTTGCAATGTGGATTCAAATTCCTAATTTAAAATGAAGATATTATTAAGCCACAACTATTATACAAAGTAACTGCTATATATTTGTCCTCCTCTGCATAGCAGAGCAAGCTATTTCTTTTATAAATTCATACTTGACAAATAACTTGTTCCTGACTTTCAGAGATCTGTTCTGCTGTGAAACCTTGCTCTAAGTGAACATTAGTTTCAATTATGGCACAACCATAATAAACCATTCGGGGTCACAATAGCACAGAAATTCATTTTTTCCAATTCACTGTAGGTGAAAGGAGTTGGTGTCTCTGCTTCTGGAAAAGGTTGTGGGATTAAATGGCACACGCTTAAGGTGATAAATGAAAACACAAAAACACACTATGCAGACATACATAAATAGAGACTCATTATTCATATCAGGTTTCTCCATAAGCCAAAATTGTTTAAGCCTCTCAAACAATTTATTCAACAGCACTGTCTCATCTTTGGTCTAGAGCAAATGGAGAAAGAGGAAGTGAACACAGCTGGATGGGTCCCCAGATCATGCTTTGAGGCAGAGAAAAAACAGAATCAGAGAACTATAGAACCGTAGAGTTGGGAGGGACCCCAAGGGTCATCTAGTCTAACCCCCTGCCATGCAGGAATCTCAGCTAAAGAATCCAACAGATGACCATCCCACCTCTGCTTAAAAACCTCCAAGGAAGGAGTCCACAACGTCCTGAGGGAGACCATTCCACTGTCAAACAGCTCTTGCCCTCAGAAAGTTCTTCCTGATGTTTAGATGGAATCTTCTTTCTTGTAACTTGAAGCCAGTAGTTCGAGTCCTACCCTCCAAAGCACGAGAAAACAAGCTTGCTCCCTCTTCCATGTGGTCACCCTTGAAGGTGGCTGTTACATCCCTTCTCAACCTCCTCCTTTTCAGGCTAAACATGCCAAACTTTTCAGCCGTTCCTGATATGGAATTGGAGGTAGGTGATTCAATTAATTTCTTGTGGAACTTAATCACAATTCCTTTTCTCTGTGCGTGTAGCTGCTTAGGTAAATGATGGAGCCATCTAAGCTAGTAGCCAAAGCTGCATGGAACTCCAAATGTGAGCTATGATGGCCTCAACTGGGGCTTCTTGATGTTGCTCATAAGTTTCTGTTCCAGTCTCAGCTGGGAGCAAAATTTAAACGGATTCCACCTGGTTCTAAATGGAGTGACATTTTCCCCAATCATAGGGGCCAGCTCCCTGTGGCCCTGGGTGCCCGAGCCCCCACAAAATTCCCTATGCAGGAGCTGGCTCCTCACAAATTTTGGCACCGGGGCCATGCACGCTGCATGGCACCCATGGCCCCAGGCACCCATGGTCACAGGGCCAAGCTGGCACTCCTGCCCCCAATGAACAGCCACAATACTTGTCCACACTGCAAAGAGGGGAGAATATATATTTTTTATAAAATGTTTTATAGCACTTTTTGTTCAAGAATCTCCATATATTAACATCACAATAAAACAGTAAAATGGCAGCATATTCAAATTCAAAGCTTAAACAAAGGTAACAATTTCAGTAACATTAAAATGCCAGCAAAATATGCAAGAAGCCAGTAGAAGAAAACTGACACCTCCAACAAATATGTTGTATGTTTGGGTAGATGGAGCTTTGTTTATGCTGAGTTAAGTACAACTGGTAAATTTTGTACATTTTACAATGTACATTTTACAGATACAGACAGGTACCGTAGGAGAATGACTGGAGGCTGTTTTTAGAAAATGGTGTCTGCAGACTTATGCCAACCGACTCATGTCTAGTCCAGGTTTTCTCATGCCAACACATCTTCTACATTAGATATAGATGAAAATTGCTTTTCAGAATGAGATTCCATGGAGGTCTATTACAAGGCCTGGATTAGCAAAGTTGCTTCCAATTTCAAGCTGCCAGTTCCATAGGCAACCAGGTATCTTGGATTTTCCTCCAGACCACCCCAAACCCTTTAAACTACAACTCTTTCACAACTTTCTTCCCCACCTGCCATGTCTCGTTCTCTTTCTCTGTACATCCTCTTGTGTTGGTCTGCCAAAGGGTTGGGAAGAAATCCTGAGGCAAGAATGTTTGGCACTGACTGATTTCTGGTCACTGCATTTTATTATTTTGTTT